GGGGGGGGGGGGGGGGGGGGGTCCTTGGTGCTTTCTGAGGTTGGTTGGTTTTTTCGCAAATATTTTATTACCCAATTGTTGTGGTCCGCCGACGGCCTGTGGAGCTGGCAGCATAATCAACGGACAGACAGACAGGCAGACATGCATACATACATACATATATAAATTACTGATCCATATTTTCTTCTTTTCAATGAAAGAGCACTTGTCTGGTGAGAATTCAGAAGGGAGCTAATTTTTTATTTAGGAAGGAGGGCATCATATCTGTGCACAGTAGAGGGGTCACTGATTTAAGTGCACTGAGGATGCTTCCTAGTTGGGTAATGAAATGCCTGCAAGAAAGCAGCCAACCTTAGGGAGCACCATGGACACCACATTGTCAGATCTGACCATCTGAAAGCTGGACTTGAGTTTTCTCAGGCTGTTGCATGAAACAGCTGCTCAAAGACCTGCCTGAACATACTATATAAGCTCGACAAGTAAACAAATAAGCTAAAAAATAAATGCCAGAGTCAAGCTCTGTACCACTATCTGGATCAAAGAAACAAGAGTCACCTAGATCGGTTAAAAGTTAATCCATGAATTAGGGGTAAGACATAGAATCCTGGAAACTTGCAAAAATAAAAATGAAATAAAAACTGCAGCTTTTATTTTATGAGTTCAAATATGGAGTTCTGGATCTCTTCTCCCCAGACAAACTGGTCCAACCTGCTCTTCATGCTAACAAACACCCATCCCATCTGTGGATTCAAGCTGGGTTCTCCAGATACCTCCAGCCTCTTCCTCAAACTCTTCTTAGTCCAATGTTTTTCAGAGTTGGCACGATGGATGAACTTCCAACTCCCAGAATTCTAGGAATCAAAGTCCACCCATCTTAAAGCTACTCAGTTTGAAACACTCTGGACAAGTCTCACCATGTACAGAACCAATACGGCCTTTAGTATAAGTAAGGTCCCAATAGGAAAGGAGGGGGGGCGTCACTCTTATCCTGTTACCTTAAGGAAGTTCTTCACGCGTTCTGGATCGTAGCAGTTGCTCTCCCTGCAAATTCTTTCCACCTCTTTAATTTGGCCGGTCTTACAAGCAGCTTGGATGTATTTGAAATGCACGTCCGGGTCTTGGCTGAAGTTAACAATAGAGCCCAGGAAGTAGAAGAGACCTTGAAGAAGGGAGTGCAAAAGAAAAGGAGTAATCATGATGTCAGGCCTGCAGTCATATTCCTTTTTAGGATTTTTGGCCTGCCACACACACTATTATTTCATTATGCTGTTTCATTAGTGTAGTAATTGGGAGGGGGAATAGCAAGGAGTAGAATTGCGGAATGTGTTGTTGTCATTCTTTTCTAGAAGCCAAGGTCATCTTTTCTCTCCGCACCTGACCGGAACCAGCTGGGTGGAGATGCCAGAGTGGCCGAAGAAGATTGGACCATGTGATGGATTTGTGGGTGTGGGGATAAGATCATGAACTTTCAACTGGGTGGAATCCCAGGAAGCTTTTAGATTTGGGATTCCACAGTTTGTTGCCAACATGTCTGTCTTATTAAATTGGAACTTTAAGGATAGCTCTGCCTTGGACTCTGATTTAATTCTGCATGATGTTTGGAATGCTGACACATGAACAGAATTTGTCAGAAATCTTTGGAGCTGGGAGTACTAGATTTTGATAGAGGAAGCATATTTGTAGCTCTGGTCTGAAATGAGAGGTCCTCTGAGCTTGGTTGTTTCCTTGCAGACATTTCATTACCTAAGTAGGTAAGGTCGTCAGTGCTACTGCTAGCAGGAAGTGAGGTTGCACTCTCCTTTTAAACTGTAGACGTTACCTAGTTGGATAATGAAACGTCTGAAAGAAAAGAAACAAGCTCAGAGAGCACCAAGGACACCTTGTAACAGATTTTTCATTTGCCGGAAATGTTCACTTGCAGCCACAATGCAATTGCTTTTAATTAAACGTTAAGTGTCAGTCTCATTGACTGACGCTGAAATAACAAAAGCAGATCGAAAGCAGCTTTCTCCAACCTCATTTCCTCCCTACAGGGAGTCCTCAACATATAAACATAATGGAGCATGCCCATTACGGTCCTTATGATATGATGGAAATTCAACAGGTCAGTCATGTGACCAATCTGATTTTACGACTTTTTTTGCAGTGGTGGTGGATGAGTGAATCACCATGGTTTATTCTGGGTGTGGTCTTGCTGAAAACGGCAATAAATAAATGCCCTTTTTGGCAAAACCGTCATAAAATGCTGTTACAAGGATTTATATTCCTTGCAGACATCTGGTCGTTAGCACTCTCTCTGAGGATCGTTGAGGTCACTTGGAGGGTTATCTGTGCTCTCAGGGTCACCTAAATAGTGCAAATGGGTGTGGAACCTCCAAGCAGCCTCCACAACTCTCAGAGACAGTAATAACGACCAGATGACTGCAAGGAATATAAATCCTTCCATCCTCCACCATTCAATCAGAACTGGAGAAGCTTCTTGGATGAGAAGCAAAATGTCTTCAAGGAAAAACAAAGTCCAGTTGCCTTTTGTAAAAGCACCTTTGAGACAAAAGAGGACAGCCACAACTGAAATAATGTGATGGCCACCACTGTGATATGCCCATTCACTTGTCTTTACCAACCAAAGAGGACAAGACAATGACTTCAAGAGATGCGCCCATCTCAATGGACCAGGGGACAGCCCCAGCTTTGTAGCGGCTCACAATGGCTGCCTTCCCAGCTGCCAGTTTGGGGATCTTTCTCCAGATCAATCAGGGAGTTTGCTGGCTCCCTGAGACCAGCGAAGTGTGCTCCCCATGCTTATTGCCCCTACGAGGCAATTTAGGTCCAATTCGGACCACCCGGCAGCTGGGATATTGATGGTCCCACGGAGCTTCCCGTGAGTTGCCGTTGTCTCACCACGACATCAGCCCTGCCCTCCAAATGCGCTCATCTCAATGGACTAGGGGACAGCCAGAAGGAACCAAGGCACTCAGCGATATGGATTCAGAACTTGAGTGTGGCGTGGGAACCCAACCGACCTACCTTCAAAACTCTTGAATGATTCAAAGAGCTCGATGAGCGACTGAGTTGAAAGCTGCTCGTGGTACTTGGAAGCCACCTGGACGCAGATCTGCAAGTTCTGGCGGATGTTTGCTGACAGCATTGCCCGCAAGCATTCCAAGGAATCTTCCACGGAAAGGGAGCCAAAGTAGTTCACCAGCCACTGCAAGAGAAAGGAGTCGTTAGAAAGGACCTCGGATTTTCTTAAGGTTCTTTATGGCAGAAATATGCAGACCTGGGGTGATGAAACTTTACAACTAGGATGGGATTTTAATTCCCAGAATTCTCAGCCAGAATCGGCAATGGTAACTCGCTGCACAGAGCCGCTTCTGGTGAGATGGTTTCTTATATAAATGTGGTCAAATGTCACCTTGATCCCCACAGTGGAGGAATGGCTGCAAAATTGGATGGAGTTAGCAGAGATGGCTAAATTGACTGTTTTGGTTGAAGAAAAAAACAATAATAAATACTTTTATTTCTACTTGGAAACCACTTCTGGACTTTGTGCTTGAGGTGGGGGAAAAAATGAAACTTTGATTTTGGGTTTTATCCATTAGATAGATTTGTTGTTATAGAAATGGCTAGTTTATAATATTATGTAAAAGTCAAAAGTTGAGGTTTGATGTTAATGCCTTATTCTACTGAACTGAAGGGAGTCGGAAGTCAATGTCTTTTATTTTTATTTTTTCCCTTTTCGTTCCCCCACTTTTCCCTTCCCTATTTTCCCTACTATTTACTTTTATATTTTCTTTGTATGCTACATTATAAACTAATAAAAACTGTTTAAAAAATAAGTGTGGTTAAATGAATGGATTGGCATTAACAGCAATAGCACTTCTACCGCTTCACAGTGCTTTGCAGCCCTCTCTAAGCGGTTTTCAGAGTCAGCATCTTGACACCAACAATCTGGATCCTCATTTTACCCACCTCGGAAGGATAGAAAGCTGAGTCAACCTTCAAATCCCGTCAGGATTGTATTTTTGACAGTAAGCAGAGTTAGCCTGCAAAATGGCATTCTAACCACTGAATCACTTGGTGCCTTACTTTCCAGAAGCTGTTAAAAACTTTTCAGAGCACATTTGGGGTGCAAAATCTCACTTAATAATTGTCTTGCTTAGCAATGGACATCTTGGGCTCAGTTGTGGTCAAGGACTACCTCTACTGCCACCTCTAAATAGAGTAATCCTTCCCAAATGTAGTTGAACTTCAATCTCTCAGCAAAGGCCAAAGTTCTCTGAAATGGCCTCCTCTTGAAAGGTGAGAATAGTCCCATTGTTATTAGACTTCTGGAAACCGATTAAGTCTGAATTATTTCAGGGGACTTTGGAATGAATAATGATGCTGTAAAGATTACGCTAGGTGGTTTTAAGTTGCCATATTTTTTTGGACTATAAGATGCAATGGTGTATAAGATGCACCAAGATGTTGAAGAGTTAAGTAAGAAAAAAAAGTGTCTGTCCTCCATGGCCCCCAGGACCACTGGGCTGGCTTCAGCAGGGCTGGGGTAAAAACGCTGTTTTTGCGAAAAACAGGTGGAAAATGGACTGTTTTTTTGCAAAACGGGGGCATTTCCCCCTTCCCTACTGAAGCCTGCAAAGTGCTCCTGGGGGCTGGAGGGAGGGAAAACTGTCTCAATTGTTGTGAAAAATGGCCCGTTTTTCACAAAATGGGGTGTGGGGGTGGGGCTTCGGGAGGCCAAAAATGTCTGTATTTGGTGTATAAGATGCACCAACATTTCCACGCTCTTTTAGGGGAAGAAAAAGGTGTGTCTTTTACTCCAAAAAATACGGTAACTTCATTTTAATTTACCATGTACATTTTGATCATTGCGCTGTATGACTGCTGCGAACTGCCAAAAGTCATAGCAATAGCAGTTAGACTTATATACCGCTTCATAGGGCTTTCAGCCCTCTCTAAGCAGTTTACAGAGTCAGCATATTGCCCCCAACAACAATCCAGGTCCTCATTTTACTCACCTCGGAAGGATGGAAGGCTGAGTCAACCCCGAGCTGGTGAGATTTGAACAGCCTATCTGCAGAACTGCAGTCAGCTGAAGTAGCCTGCAGTGCTGCATTTCACCACTGCGCCACCTCGGCTCATAAGATGGTGCCACATGGCAATTACATTTATTCAATCTTTATTCACCACCCATCTGACTTCAAAGTGACTCTGGGCAGTTTACAGCATTAAAAAAACATTAAAATCATCAAAGGTAAATATCCCTAATATGTAAAGTAAGTATACTTTCACCCCAGTACCTCGGGGTTGAGAAGGTGAGTGTGAACCACGGCTCGCTTGATGTCGTACAAGTCAGTGAAATGTTCCAGCGCCCTTTGGAGGAGACCGGCTTTCTCGCACAGTTGAGCGATGTGGGCTCGGTCGTAGTGGGTAAACATCTGATTCCCCAAGATGGCATCGGCGACCTGAAAGAGGAGATTTTGCTTGAGAAATAGAGTAAAGAATCAGAGTAACCAGATCCTTTTGAGAACCAGGTGCAAAACCTACCTGAGGTGCATGCATTAGATTCATTTCAAGCAAACGAGTTTGCAAAGGCCCTTCGGATGGACGGTTGTTTTTCAGGGCATCCAAGAGAAAAGCTGTACACTGCTGGATCAGGTTGTATTCCATAAACACATCTACTATCTGCAAAATGAAATAAAAGAGAGCACTTGTTTTAGATTCTTCCCACCCAAGGCAGATAAAGCCTTGTATAAACATTCCAGCAATATAAGGTTAGCGAATTCAGATAAATCATCCATGCTTAAGGCGCCAAATGCATGTCATAATCCCCCCCTCATTAGAGGTATGCAAAGCATTTCAAATTTGAAACCATTTTTAAACAGTTTTGATGTCTTTAGTGGCGTTTCAACTTTCAGCCTGCTCTGTTTGCATTTGAAGCATATATTTTGAGCACAAAATGAGGGCTTTTCAAGCCCAGGACATTCCTAGTAAAGAGCTTAAAATGGAAAACAGAGCTGTATAGCAATAGCACTTAGACTTATATACCGCTTTACATCCCTCTCTAAGCGGTTTACACAGTCACCATATTGCTCCCAACAATTTGGATCCTCATTTTACCCACTTGGGAAGGATGGAAGGCTGAGTGAACCTTGAGCCTGGTGAGATTCGAACTGCCAAATTGCAGTCAGCTGGCAATCAGTAGCCGTAGCCTGCAATACTGAATTCTAACCACTGCACTACTGTAGCTCATGAAAGGCTAAAGGCTTCATTTCTGATGTTTCATATACAACGAATATGCACCTGTTTTTCACAAAACCTGTTTTCACTTTAGTGTCAAATCCTGATGCTGTACAACAGTGTTTCTCAACTTTAAGATGTGTGGACTTTCACCTCCCAGAATTCCCCAGCCAGCATGCACCAGCTTAAAGTTGCCAACCTTAAAAGCAAAACTGCTGTAGAATCGTACAGAATTCAAAGATTGCTTTGAGGAGCCCCTCAAATCAGAGGAATATTCTTATACATCTGCATGTTCTCAAGAGGCCAAGTGAAAGATTTAGCAAGCAAGGACCTGTTTCCGTCAAGAAATGACTACTGAGACTTCACCTTCCACACGAGGTCAGGAGAACATGAGATCTGTGCAATTCCTTGGTCTTTCACTGGGGCTCAAGCATACTCCAGAATTTTTTTTTATTATTTTTTGTTCTCTTACATATCATTTTAACTATGCATTCACATAATGGTTATACTTCTTTACATTTATCATTCTTATACATTTATTATTTCATTTAATAGGTTCTAACATATAGTTTGGGTTGCTTTATTTACCATCCTTCCTCCTGTTGTAACACCACTTTG